TTTCCTGGTACTAGTAGCCCAATTCAGTACGGTAGCACATGAAAAACCAGATCTGCAAGTTTTGGAGGTCAAAAGAGAATAAATCATCAGATTACTCATGCATGGATGATGAAGGTGATCCATTCTGACAAAATAATTGCTTTCAAAACAAGAGTGCTGTGAATGGATGATGATGATGATGATGATGATGATGATGGATGAGTTCCAGCCTTCACAAAACTGTGGCGATGCAGCATGGCATAGGGCCCAAAACCACAATGTGTCACTCCAAAACCAACTTCAGTCCCCTTTTTCCCCCAGCCTAACCTCCATTTCCTCTTTTCTTTCTGTGTGCACATCAGCTCTTCCCCAGTCAGCGTTTGGGATGACACCTTGACCACCCATGGAAACCCCACCCCCAACCCAGTTCAATAAAACCTTTGTCCCCCTGCTTCCCCCTCCAGAGTGTTCTTGCTCTCTCCTGCAACTCCTCCTGCACCCAAAATAAAGGTTTCTTTTATCTTTGTTCTGTCTCTCTCTTGCACCAAAAGGAAAAACCTTACAGTGATGACTTTGACATTGGCCATGTGAGCCAAAGTTCCTGTGACAGTGAAATGGAGCAAGATTGACTAATACAGATATAGACCTCCCTGATTCAGTTGACAAAGAAAACAGTAAAGTGAGTACAGGTTTGACTGGTTGAAATGTTGCAAAATGGAATGTTCCAAATGGAACAAAGAATGTTAGAGATAAGTCCAGAAGTATAGTGAGTGTCTTGGCAGGGGTGAATTGTATTGGACAGAAAGCCAGCAGTGCCATTCAGTGTTGGCAATTGCAACAGATGAAATGCTTCAAGATGCTGTGAGATACATGAAGGCTGAAATGCGAGTAAAATGTTCTGCATGCACCAACAGCCATATTAGAAAATATATTTATTATGATACCTCACTAGCTAAACCGAAAGCATTTATAGGTCAGCTGTATTTAGCAGGGATTTCTCATGGTGATTGCAGGAATGTAAAAGCCTTATGGAAAATGATGGGTCAACTATGGCATAAAAATGTATGCCTTTGTAGATGTGAAGATTTTTTATGCTTTCTGTTTAGATGTTTATCCTGAAACTCAGCCATCAGGCCCCTTCCTCATATAATAATAATGCTAAACCAAATGATGTTGTGAGCAGACTTGTTCCCATCCCCCAAATTAATTGGAATGTGACGTTTGACCGTGAGTTTCCAGTTTCCAGTTGATGTCACATTTGCGAACAGCACAAATTGACCAGTGCGGGAACAAGACAGAAATTGCAAGTGAAATGTTGCAATTTCAAAACAGAAAATTGTACAGTACAATCTTTGGGTTTCAGAAAGATATACCGTTGGCCTGGTATATGGCAAAGAGAGACAAACTGGTACTGCTGGTGTCAACATTTCGCCATAATGGGAGCACTGATAGGGAAACTTCAACAAAATGGAAGGCTGAGACGGAAACTTTCTACAACCAAACCAAAGGTGGAGTGGATGTTGATGAGCTATGCAGCAACTGTGATGCCACTGAAAACCCAGAGCCTTGGCCGGCGATTGTGTTTTACTCAATCCTAAACATGTGTGGCATAGATCCTTTGATAGTTTACAAAGAAAATAACAAGTGCAAAATACCATGGAGAAATGTTCTTAGAGGATAGGGACGGGACTTCATAAGAGATCATTTACGGCTGGGGAAAAACAAAGTGTTTCTTCCAAGGGAACTGTGCAAAAAACTGTGGAGCACACAGGTGAGCTGACAGGTGAACAGGCACACGCAGCATCCCAAAGACCTACTGTGATGACAGGGCAACAAAAAAGACGTCAACTGTGCCCTACAAGAAAGTGCAGGAGAACAGCACATGTGCGCTATCAGTGTAAGCATTCCTTGTGTATGGAACATGCACTTGTCACGTGTGAAGACTGCCTTGGGTGGAGAGTTGAAGCAAAGCCTATTTATGTGGGACACTTTTGTGTTCACAATGCAGTTCACATAGGCTTTTATTTTTGATGTTATATTATAGGTTTTGTAAGCAAATACACAGCTGATGTGAAAATGTGGACGTCTGTTCTAAGTGCACAAGATATAGCAAGAATTTATTTTATTGACATCTTATGTTCCTGTTAACTACACACTGTGTCATATAGGAAGAATCTCCTGACAAAACAGCAAGACCATTGAGATGTCACGTGTGTCCTACAAAAAGGCCAGGAAAGCAAAGCATGTGCCTCTCAGGGTAAGTGATATGTGTGTATGCAGTGTGCTGTGGTCATGTGTGCAGACTGATTTAGGTGTGATCCTTCAGTAAAGCTTTTTTTTGTAAACTGCTATTGGTAGTTTCATTGTAGTTCATCTACGAATGTCTTTGTGTTGTTCTTTTTTTAACACTTTGTACACGAAAAAACAAGTCAGTGTTGAAAATTTTGATGCTTTTTTATAAACAATACTCAATAATTACTAAAAGTTCAATAGTTTATTTCTGTTATTTTTTCCTGTTAAGTAGTCATTGTTTAATATAATAAAACTCATAAGAGTAAAATTAATAGTTCATCAATGGAAATATTCTGAAAAATAAACATGGGTCCGGTAGAGCGATGTTTCTGCAACTTTATGACAAAATTAGTGTTATGCCCCTGAAACAGCCTGGGTGCTGCTGTTTCTTGTGTTTTATTTCTTTGCTCATTGTGGAACTCCGCCGAGGAGGGGCACCCCGGCCGCCCGTGTGTCTGCGGCTCCCGCCGCAGGAGAGGCCCCGGTGCTGACAGCAGCGTCCTCGCAGCGGGCCGGCGGGCCTGGGCGGTGCAGATCCCGGCAGCGCACGGGTGAGCCGGAGCCATCACCCTGGGAGGAGCGGGCCGGACGCGAGCGCGCGAGCGCTGTGAGCCGCTGCTCACAGGACTGCAAGTGCGAGCAGTTCGAACCTGCAGAGCCCCGCGGGCGCCCGGGCTGGACGTGCTGGAGATGAGGGGCTGGCTGCGAGGCCGGGCCCTTCCCCTGCGGCGGGGGCCTGGGCCGGCTGAGACAGGGAAGCTGGGGCGGGCGGCGCCTGGCTTCCTTCCCTGGAGCCCCGCGGGGCGGAGCGTGCTGGCGCGTGTCCTCGCGGTCCCCGCCGTTCAAGGCAGCGCGCCCAGCCCTCAGGTCCTCCCACTCCCAAGCCGGGGTGGGGCTGGGAGGGCGCCGAGCTGCTGTCAGGCGCGGAAAAGTAATCAGGCAGCGGGAGGAGCCCCGGCTTCGGCCTGCAGTGTGGGGAGCCCTTTCCCAGGCTGCAGAGTGTGGAAGCCCCTGCGCTGCAGGCGGCCCCCCGGGCCCCGCGGCCGCGCGCTCTTCCTGCCCCTGTTGCTTCTCGCCTGTCTGCGTCCCGGTGGGACTGTGTCCCTAGATCCTGCCCATGTTCTCCGACCGGAAAGCATCAAGAAGAACGCAGGATACGACAGGAGGAAGGGCAGAGGGGTTTTCACTGAACAGAGGGTGGGGCGGGTGCTTAGCCAGAGCCCGGGGACAACACCACAGCCCAACCCTCCGCGGCAGGGACACAGCACAGCACTCAGGTCCCAGTGTGTGTGTGTGTGTGTGTGTGTGTGTGTGTGTGTGTGTGTGTGTGTTGGCCTTGACCTGAGTTCTTGGGTCAGTTCCTCATTTGTAAAGTGGACACAAGGCCACCAGGTTCCTCTCTGGAAGCTGAAGATCTGATGCAAAATACGTCAGTTCCGTGGGGTTCGGGATTGGCATTCTTTGATCCTTTTGTCTTTGCCCCGGAGCGGTGATTCCCAGGCAGGCCCCACCGTGTCCCCCACCCGGGAGTTCTGGGTTTGGTTCTGCAGAGCCGGGGGGTGGGAAGTGGGCTCAGCACCCTGCAGGTGGAGGCCCACGATGCCGCCCACCACCCTGCAGTCCCGAGAAGGCCGGGCCGTGTCCCCCGTGGGCACAGGGCCTCACTAGCTACAGAACAGCCGGACAGCAGCCCCCAGCCACCCGCACCTCCTGCTGCAAGCGGCCTCGGAGGGTGCGGTCCAGGGGGCTGGGGTCCAAGTGAGATCGCAGGACATGGAGAGGGGGCGTTCCAGGAGAGATAGGAGCACCGGGGACAGGGTGGGGGCCGGGGGCCCTCCCCACTTCCAGGACAGTCCCCACTGTGCAGTTCATCTGGGCCCCAAAGGGAAACGTTCCCAGCTCTGCTCCGACGACGGCAACGCAGGCTCTGAGCCGCCTGTGGGCCCAGCCTTTCCCCCCTCCCCCGCTCCCAGCTGTCCTGTCCCCATGGCCTTTGTGAGGGAAGCAACAGGGCCCTGTGTGCTGGCCCAGGGGCGTGGCCTCTCCCCACCCTCCTCCGCCGAGTCCTTCCCTGCGACCCTGCCGCGAGGGCCCCCTGTCCTCCCCTCCTCCTCCCCCATCTCCCAGCCCCCGAGAGGTGGGACACGTGACCTCGGGGACACAGAGGCGACCCAGGTGGTGCCCTAGGAGCCCATGGAGCCGCATCTCAGAGCAGGGGACAGGCAGCCCTTGGTGGCAGCAAGAGGGCCTGGGGGGTACTGTCACTTCTGCCATCTGGAAGGTCAGGACCCACTTGTCCCGAGCAGGCGAGACGGGCTGAGGACCCGCCCTCTCAGAGCGCCGCAGTGTGGGCTGGGGAGCCCCGAGGACAGCCCCCAAGCCACGCGGGGTCAGCTGCGGCCGAGCTCCAAGACCAAGCAGGCCAGGCCCACCCACAGCAGCCTTGCAGCTTTGCGGGGAGACCCACACCTGGGAGAAACTGAGGCTGCAGATGGAAATGGGTTCTGAGGTGGCCTGGGCACCCCAGTCAGCAGCTTCCAAGGAGCAGAGCGCCACCAAGGGGCAGGGCCGGTGGGGACCTTCCAGTCCCCAGTGGGGCGGGCACAGGCAGAGTCGAGGTGTGTGCAAGGGGTGAGGGCAGCTGCTCCCCTGTCCTGAGCCCCTGCTGCTCCTGGCCCTCTGAGGGGGCCGAGCCCTCAGGACCCCGCCCCGGGGCGCAGGCGGCCGGCGCTGCCAGGTGGGGCGCTGCGGGCTTGCACAGCGTCGGGAAAACCTGGGCGCTCCTCTGCGCGGACCAGCCCTGAGCTGGGAGAGGAAACAGACCCTGGAGGGGCAACCCTTTCCGGCGGCGCGGCCCTCGAGCGCCCTCTAGTGACAAAGACGTGTGTCGTCCCAGCACGGCCGAGGTCCACCCTGTGTCCAGCAGCCCCGAGAGGACGGAGGGTTTGGAGCTGAGTCTGCAAATTGACCGCCGTGAGGGAGCGACAAAGTTTACAGCCCAGCCCACGGGGCGTCCCCGATGCGGAGAAGCGGAGAGCCTAGGCACGGCCTTGCGGGGGCGCAGGGAGCCGAGGGACGGGTGGGAAGGAGACCGGGGAGCAGGGGAGTGCAAGGAGAAGGCCCGGGGGTGGAGGTGAGGTTTTGTCAGAGTAGCTTCCAGTGTGGTGTCGAACTCTGCCCAGGTGAGTGTTTTATGTTCAAAGATTAGTTAGCTGGGCACGGTGGTGCACACCTGTCATCCCAGCATTCTGGGAGGCTGAAGCAGGAGGATCACAAGTTGGAGGCCAGCCTGGGCAACTTAGCAGGACACTGCCTCAAAATAAAAAATAAGAAGGGCTAGGACCAGTGGCGGATGGTTCCTTTGTTCCATCATCAGTACTGAAAGAAAAAGCAAAGCGAGTCCTGCTTCCCGAGTCACCACCAGCCACACAGGCCCAGAGACTCGGTTGGCTGCCCCACACTTTGTCCGGAGACACCGGGGCCTTCTGTGGGAGAGACGTGTGCTTGGAGCATCTCCTCCACAGCCAGAGCAAAGGGGCCACGCACGAGGGCAGCCCAGGCTCAGGGTCACCTCCTGGGCTCAAGGTGTCACCCTGCTTCAGCCTCAGTAGTCGGGGCTACAGATGGACACCACCACTCCTGGCCCAAGTCAAAGCCGGCAGGATGAAGGAAGCCTCAGGCACCAAGGAAAGATGGTAGGAGTCACGCTGGCAGGCTCAGCTCTAGCTCCCAGGACGGGTGGACATGGGCCAGGCACTCCCAGAGCTGTGGTGTGGTTCAGGCTGGCCTTGAACTCACTACAGAGCCCAGGCTGACCTTGAATTTATGGTGATTCGCCTGCCTCAGCCTCCCGTGTGCTGGGAGTATAGGTGTGCACCACCACGCCTGGCTTTATGGTTAATTTTTTTGAAACTGGCAAATATTGACATCACTACATTAAATTGTATTTTCAAAAACACAAAATATATTTGCTTGTTGGACTCTATATTTTTTATTTTGATCATTTCCTTATGTATATTTTCATTATTTGAATAGCTCAGTTATTTCCAGGGATCTTTTCTGTGTGTGTGCATGTGGTACTGGGGATTGAAGCCAGGGCCTTTGCACTGAGCTGTATCTCAGCCCTTTTTATTTTCTATT